TCAGATATCTGGCCAGTGGATCTGGGGACACGACAGTGAGGTTCTGGGATCTGAGCACAGAAACACCACACCACACTGCTAGGGGTCAGTTTTTCGCTCGATGTTATGAAATGCAGTGCATCTGTAAGTTAAACCAAGCATCTGACATTTTGTCCCACATGTTTTATAAGGACACACACATTGGGTTTTGTCCATTGCCTGGTCTCCAGATGGCAAGAAATTAGCATCAGGGTGCAAAAACAGTCAGGTGAGCATATCATGTTATTATAAGTCACTGATATTCCAGTGAACAAGATGTTCTTTAGGTCTAATATAATGATTTATATCTGCTGTGATCTTTGCAGATCTTCTTGTGGGATCCGATCACACGAAGTCAGATCGGAAAGACCTTGATGGGACATATGAAGTGGATCACCTGGCTGTGCTGGGAACCTCTCCACCTGTGAGTTTTGAAAAATCAATTTGCCCTTGTAATCAAAGTATGTTTTATATCGGTTTATTTACGTGTGTTAATTAAGCTCTACAGGGAATTTGTGATCAAATTTATTTGAAATTAAAATAATTTAACTTATTTTGGGGTTTTGGGTTTAATTTTACTATAATTATTATAATAATTAATAATATTGTATTGTTTGTTATTTAACAATTGTTTAATTTGGTAACACAATAAAATCAACAAGGTCCCATTAGTTATTGTTAGTTAATGCATTAACTAAAATTAACTAACAACAAGCAGTTCATTTATTACAGTATTTATTCATCTTTGGTAATGTTAATAAAAATACAGCTGTTCATTGTTGGTTCATATTAGCTCAAGTCCATTAAATAACTGATTAATAAATGCTTTAGAATTATTTTTCATTGTTAGTTCATGTTAATTAATGTTGAAAAATTGAACCTTATTGAAAAGTGTTACCTTTAATTCATTTATAATTCAAAAAAATGTATAATGAAGTAACAAAATATCATGATCAGTTATCAGTAATTTTCACTCCATCACAGGAACCCAGAGTGTCGATATTTGGCTAGCACCAGTAAAGACTGTTCGATTCGGATCTGGGATACGGTTTTGGGCCGCTGTGATAAGATCCTGACCGGCCACACACAGTCTGTGACGTGTGTAAAATGGGGAGGTGATGGTCTCCTGTACACTTCATCTCAGGACAGAACCGTTAAAGTCTGGAGAGCCAAAGATGTACGTTGTTTCCACTCATGATGGATCAAAGATAACTTGAAACAATATTTACTTGGGTGTTTGACAGAATTATGGTGTGAATATCTGTTCTCGTCTGTGCCGTAGGGGGTTCAGTGTCGTACATTGCAAGGTCACGCTCACTGGGTCAACACGCTGGCCCTCAGCACCGACTACGTTCTGCGTACAGGAGCGTTTGAGCCGGCTACTGCAACCATAAACCCACAGGATCTCACTGGATCATGTATGTGTCAACACCTGCAAATTAATAATTATTATACACTACTCTTCAAAGTTTTTTGGTCGCAAAGGCTGCATTTATTTGATCAAAAATACAGTTAAAACAGTAATATTGTGAAATATTATTAAAATTTTAAAATAATGTTTTTTTATTTTAATATATTTCACAATTTAACTCATTCCTGTGATGCAAAGCTGAATTTTCAGCAGCCATTACTACAGTCTTCAGTGTCATTCTAATATGCTCAAGAAACTTTCCTTATTATTATCGATGTTTAAAACTATGAAAGCTTGTTTTCGCAATGGGATAAAAGAGGTAGATAAAAAAGATAAAAGATTAAAAAAAAGGTAATTGACTTTCTCACTTTATCTCTTTTTTTATTTTTTATTCCATGGCAGAAATAAAAAACTGAATTGTGAGATGTAAACTCAGAATTGCAAGGAAAAAAGCCTGAATTCTGAGTTTATGTCTTGCAATTCTTTTTTATTTTTTTAATCCTGTGGCGTGAACAAGCTTTCATAGAAAACAGTTGTGCTGCTCAGTAGTTTTGTGGAAACCATATTTTTTTCAGGATTCTTTGATTAATAGAAAGTTCAAAGAACAGCATTTAATTGACAGAAATCTTTTGTAACATTATAAATGTATTTACTCTCTCTTTTGATCAATTGTATGCATCCTTGCTGAATAAGTATTAATATATTTCAAATAAAAGAAACTGACCCCAAACTTTTGAACTGTAGTAGATGTAATATGGATCATTTAATAATAAATGTAAATGTTTCTGCTTTCCACAGTGGAAGAGATCAAGGAAAAGGCTTTGAAGCGCTACAACAGTGTCAGAGTGAGTGAGACCAGTCTATATACAGTACTAACCTGCGAGAGAATGGATTTATGTATAAACCTGAGCATTTGGTCTTCTTAAGGGTGAAGGTCATGAGAGGCTGGTGTCAGGATCAGATGATTTCACAATGTTCTTATGGAACCCAGCAGAGGAGAAGAAGCCAGTGGCCCGTTTGACGGGTCACCAAGCACTGGTCAATGAGGTGCTATTCTCACCAGACACACGGCTGATTGCCAGCGCTTCCTTCGATAAGTCTATAAAGATCTGGGACGGAAAGACGGGAAAGTAAGTAGGGTGGTCATAGATCCTTGATTGATTTGATCATGTGCAGATTAGCATACTGACATATTTCTAAAATATATGTGCAGTGCTATATTTCAATATTAATTATGTAAAGTGTGTGCATAGTATGCAGATGTTCTATATGCAATGAATGCC